AACGATTAATGGAACAGTGCTTAGGAGAGTTGCATATGGTAGACTGTTTCATTTATTCAGATGATGTGATTATATTTTCGTCTACATTTGAAGAACACCTGGAGAAAATGGAGAGAGTGCTTCAACGCCTGAGAGAACATGGGATAAAGTTGTCGCCTAAAAAATGTTCATTCTTTCAGCAACGTGTGAAATATCTGGGATTTATTGTATCAGCTGATGGTATTGAGGCCGACCCAGAGAAGGTGGAAAAAATCGCAACATGGAAAACTCCTACTTGTCCAGAAGAAGTGCGACAATTTTTGGGTTTCGCTGGCTATTACCGGAAATTTATTCGGAATTTCGCACGAATTGCCCGACCCCTCACGGATTTGATTCCTGCTCCTAAGAAGACTAAGAAGAAACAATGTAAGACATATTGGAAATGGGGAAAGGATCAACAGGAGGCTTTTAATAAACTGAAGGATGTACTTTCATCACCACCCATTTTGTCCTATCCAGACTATTCGAAGCCCTTTGAATTACACACAGATGCTAGTCACCAGGGACTTGGAGCTGTGTTGTATCAACATCATGAGGAAAAACCAGTAGTGATTGCATATGCCAGCAGAGGGCTTTCTAAGTCAGAAAGAAACTACCCTGCTCATAAGCTTGAGTTTCTCGCAATGAAGTGGGCTGTCACCGAGAAGTTTAAGGACTACCTGTATGGCCATAGATTCTCTGTGTTGACCGATAACAATCCCCTGACTTATGTCTTAACAAGTGCCAAATTAGATGCTACAGGACATCGATGGTTGGCAGCTCTATCTGCCTACGACTTCGATATCAAATACCGTCCAGGAAAATCTAATTTTGATGCCGACACCTTGTCAAGATTGCCAACGAAGGAATTCCTGGAACGGTTATCAATAGAGAAGGACAGTGTAGCAGCTGTATGCCAGATTCATCAAGGCCAACCCTATATAGAGAGTATATGCCTAGCAGCGACAACTCCGATTGAGCTAGATCCTTTTACTACAGACCAGGAAATGGACCATTTTAGCCATCATGAGATTAGAGAAGCCCAACGGAAAGATCCTGTGATTGGACCCTGTACTGAACATGTCATCAGAGGTGTGAAGCCTAAGAGAAGTCAGATGTCTTTAGCATCATGGAATCCTCACCTCTATCGGTGAAGAAACGCAATATTTGTCGTCGAGTACTTTGTGCAAGTGCAAGAACCTCAATTTCACACACATGTTTTACTATATAGGAGGCAGGTCTCCTCAAGATCAATCCTTGTTAGTTAATAAGGAATTCCACTACTCGTTCAAGTGATGTGGCTATGATAAGCAATGGGTCACTTCATTGCCAAAATCTATGATTTTGAGAATTAACATTGATCGTTAGTGATCATTACAGAAGTACCCTACCAGCCTCTCCAGTTTTTTTAGATCTTAAATGTCGTTTAGTTTGCGATTCAGGTAGTGTACGAAGGAATATCTGTATTGAATCGTCATGCTGAACAATAATTAAAATCTTGCCAATGGTGAACGGAAAGGAAATTATTTCTATTTTTGTTCCGCATGATTGATTCCAAGTGTAATATTTCGGAAACTACCATGCTTAAAGTCTTGTCCACGATGTCGAGGCCGTTAGACAGGAAATATCTTAAATGATGCGAGTGCACAGTAGAAATATTTTTACTAATTGACGTAAAAGTACTGTCAGTGACTTCAAACTACCAGCGGTGATGTTAGTATAACGCGATATAAATGTCCCAGAGTATGGACAAATATGCAGATGTATGTCATTAAATGACCATATCTAAATATAATGAACGTACCACTGTAAGGCAAATAGACGCTAATGGAGCTACCTATATATATTCACTTTGCAGATTCGCAGATACATGTATGTTATTATCAAATGACCTTTTTTTAACCTTGACAAACTTTATATATAATATATAAAATTCTTGCTGCTGGCATTAAAGTTAATTCAGTCAAGTACCCAATTATAACTTAATTGAGTCTTGTATTGTCAGTATCACGCGTAACAGATACAAGTTACTTAACTATTGAGTAAGCCCCAGGGAACTGTGACACTATATCCTCTCCGATAAGTCTCGTTCTGAGAATTGGGCTAAGAAATCCAATGGGTCTTATTTGAGTACTGATGCACCTTCCCTAGTCACCGGTGACTGGCCTTACAATATAAAAGGTACCACATGATCCCACCGCTGCCACCAAATGTAATGTAAGAGCGGACAGCTATCAATTGCTAGTAAGGTTTTCCTTACTAATAGAGCAGTATTTTCTTTCATATTCATTGGCTACTACACGTGTGTTATACTTTAAGCTGTGTACACTACTTTAACGTGAAAACAAGGGCAAAATCTCGATACAGACGACAAAAACAAATACAACACCAAAGAGACACCAACATCAGGAAATAATCTAAAGAACTTCAGTACCGCGAGGGAAAAAACCAATCTACCATGTCAGTTAGTTTGCACCATTATTTTACCAGTTCATACAGAAAGAATTTAAATAATCTCATATTTGTGTCCGATTTCAGACATGAACAATACTTTAAATATTACTTGTCGATGTCCTATTATATTATCTTTGGAACATTTGCAATGGTGAAAGCTATAGACTAAGCACACGTGGTTTTTTTTCTTTACAACACTCACCCCACTATTGAAATATAACTGTTATTTATCAAGAAACCAAGAATATCCTCTATAATATGTCGTGTCATTACTCCATACCATTGAGTGAGTTGGTGTTTGTTAGAATGCATTCAATCTGAATCTCAGAATCTGCTTAAAACAATGAAACATTTAAGGTGTTTAAGTATTGATTTTCACTCATTTAATTACAGTAATGAGGTCAAAGGTCAATTCAAGTGCTAGTCAGGTGTCAAAGGTCAACATGAGTAAAAATCTTTAACAATCTTCTTCTTAAGTTCCATAATGCCCAGTGTCATGATATTTGGCCAGTAGGTACCTGGGATGGAGTGCTATTTAGTTTCCTCATTAAAATGACTTTGATCTACTTTCAAGGTCACATGGGTCAAATATGTTACAAACTTCAAACAATAATATCTTAAGAACCATTTGGTCTAGAGTCATGCTACTTGGGTATGTTATGTAGACCAGCTGTGTAAATCGTTTTCTATATACTAAATACTTCCAAATATATCTATCTTTTATTTTCAAATTACCAAGATTCTTCAATATTCGAAATATGGGCCCTCAATTTCCGGATGAGTGATTTCGGGTCCGGTGTTTGTTTAGAGAATTGATAGTAGACAGATGATTGTACATTCTGTCCACCTGGATTTCCCACAGTGTAGTCTCCTTCTATAATGTAATTTAGTGAAGAATACGAGTCCCTGTGCCCCCAGACAGAACTTTCCTCTTTGGCGATTATGTTGAACGCGTAGTAATCTTGAGGCGTCTTGCCCCTGTTCACTCCATAGTCAGTGTCCGCTAAGGTGGTCGTGTAGTAGTAATTGAATGTCTTACTGAACAGTTCCCGTACTTTGGGTTTAAATCTGATTATATCCGACATAGATTTCATCGTCGGACTTGTTATAATAAAATCGAACTTTTCTCCATAATTATAATCTACCACATTTCATATAATTGACATAGAAGCCTCTACCATGTTTTAAACACGACACTGTTTTAACTGGACTTGATAACTTTACATTGAAATTGTTTTGTCTTGCTATTTGCTCCCACAGAGACTGAAACCCATTACTTAACATCTTTACAACGTTTTGTTGTAACACTGAGGAGAAATTGCGGGGTAACCCACATCATCCCATACAGAGCGGATATTTCGTCAATATGTCCATAACCTTGCATTGTTAGCACAGACAATAGCATACCTTCCAGTCCTTCAATATTATTAATTGTAAGAAACTCTTCGAAAGTCATGTTAACTTGTGACAGTACGTTTTCACACGGTCGAGGCATCAGCTCCCCTTCGTACGTCCCAAACAATGTGTTGTGCAGTCCTACATATTGAATGATGGATTGCAGGATGATTCCTGCTGCCTCTGTTGGTGTGGTTATATTTGGACGATTTTCCTTTATTATTCGGGTACTGTTTTCTAGAGCCGTCGTTTATACTGTAAAACAATCATACAGTTTTGAGTGTATTCACTGATATATTTCGTTTTGTTTTACAAATCGGACATTTTTACTGGGAGTTCTAACAAATGGTCTATGTTTTACCTGTTATAGAATTTATTACTGTAGCATTAACCACAACTGAGAAAAGTCAGTATGATTAGGATGAAAACTGCATGCTTTGATCAAAACGTGGATTTTTCGACCATGTATTCGACCATAATCCGCTGGATTATAACCCTAGACGTCGGGCTACTGTGAGTTTTGTCGCATTTGGCATAACAATCCCTTCCTAATGTTTATTTGTGATAAATTTACATTATTTACGCTTATTTGCTTATTTGTTTTTTTATTTCGGTAAAGTAATTTTCAAATATAGGGAAGTATGCAATATAGTGAAAAAGTCATGATAAACATTTAATCAAATTGGTTGGACATCATGTCATAATGACAGTAACATTTCTTGGTCACCATAACTTATGTTTGTAATTATTAAGAAATGCCTGATCCGTTTATCCACAACTCGCGTAGCATATGGAAATTTAATGAGTGATAAATCAAGTGTTCACACAAAGACAATTTTGTTCAACTCAAATGTAATACAAAGGGACAACAAGAAGAACTGGAAAGACACAAGCACAAGGAATTAATAAACAAAAAAATAAAAACAAGTCTTTTAGTTCACAATATCATTTTATTATGTAGTTGTCAACAGTTTCTCTTCTGAACACATATTTTTACAAATAATTCACCAATTTAGAAGTTGTATTTTGCACACGATCCTCGTCATTGACGTAACATGTCACGTGGTCGTTTGTTTCAAAGCTAGTCACTTCTGCGATATATAAGAGAAAGACAAGCGCGTTCTAATGAGCCACCGCTTTTATGTAAACACTGAAGCGGACCATCATGACGACAGCACGGACAGAAGTAATATTGATCATAGCAGTGTTCTGTATACATGTAAGTATGTTATCAACAAAACACATTTACAATACGTGGGCATTTTATTGGAGAACAAATTTGTTGTTGTTATTCATAAAAAAAATTGGCAAGCTTAAACACCTCTATTTTATGCCCTCTTGAAATACAAATATTCAATACGTTTTACCACAGGTTGTTTGTACGGGTATCAAACAAATCAACACTATATCCATCCTTACCTGGAAATTTATCAATCTCATTACTTTAAAGGTTTTAAAAAAAAAATCTATATTGCTGATATTCCTCCAAACGGTATTGATCAATACGTTACCTTTATGTAATCCATTTAATTGCACGCGGTGGAATTTCTTCTGCCAATTCGGAACAATACTGAATTCCTTCAATATTCCACATATATATATTGCTTCTTTTCGTTTACCATCAATAAAATCGTGTCCAGAAAGATATATATTCTTACTCGTGCAATAAACGATTATTAAGCATCCATTAAGCTTTTTTTCTTTTTAAGCATCGGTGATACTTTTTTGTTAATAAAATATGCATTTCTCATTGATGTTTCTTGTGACTAGTTCCTAAAACGAATGTTAGCGACGATAATTGTTTTTTAATACCGTCTTACTGTAAGTAATATTGCTATGTCTATTTACTACCGTACTATTGTAAGTGACGTCGGTATGCTTATCTAAATGTACTACCGTAATACTGTTAGTAATATTACTATGTCTATTTACTACCGTACTATTGTAAGTGACGTCGGTAAGTTTATGTAAATGTACTACCCTCTTACTGTAAGTAATATTGCTATGTCTATTTAATACCGTACTATAGTAAGTGACGTCAGTATGTTTATCTAAATGTACTACCGTATTACTGTAAGTAATATTACTATGGATATTTACTACCGTACTATTGTAAGTAATGCCAGTGTGATCAAGACAGTAGTGTGTTTAGTTTTCTGATGTTTTACCTTCCAGAGTGTTGTTTTTGCTGGATTAACGTCTATTGATGAGACAACTCTGTCATCAGGTAAGCATAGTGAACACATTGTTGTCTATGGTGAGACAAAGAGCTGTTGCTGGAAACGTACGGTAAAAAAACACCTTTTGTAAGGTAAGTATGGTGAAAATAGTTGTTGATGGGTAAGTATGGTAAGAAAACAGTTTTAGTAAGGTCAGTATGGTAAAAATATTTGATGTTAGTTAAGCATGATAAGAAAACGTTTTAGTTAGGTCAGTATGGTAAAAACAGTTGATGTTAGTTAAGTATGGTAAGAAAACAGCTGTCGTTAGGTCAGTATGGTAAAAGAACACTCTCATCAGGTAGGTACGAGGGAAAAACTTTCTGAAACTGAGTGCGACCTGTCGGTTACTAAATATGACAAAACAGCACCGTTTGGTTGTTAAGTGTGACAAAACAATACCTGTCGGTTGGTAAATATGACGAAACAACAGATGTCGTTAGGTAAGTTTCGCGGATGTTATGTTCAGTCACGTGAAAAGCCATTAATATATATATACATAATTTTACATTCTATCTTGCTTCGCCTCCAACAGATTTGTGTTATTTATACTGGAATTCCCGTCTGTTTTGATGTGTCGGTTTGTCTGTTAGTATATAGTTATAATTTTGTATAAAGTTATGTGTAAAGAAATTTTGTCTGTATGAGCTTTTTACAAATGAACTTTTGCAAACAATAAAAATCTGTATGAGCTTTTTATGTTTATATTATGCTATTAATCTCCTAAGTAAGCTCCTTATTTGCATATAACACATACATGCTATGTTTTTATTATATGATATTTGGGTTTCGTATATTTATATACCACATGGTTTGTAAACAGTTTTACTAATTCCTATTTTCCTCATTGTCGATTTTTGCAACCATTCAAGCAAGTTTATTAAATCTGAAAATGAATCCTCTTAGCAAATACGTAACTGAGATAAAGAGAGCCCCCGTTCCATTACCGCTCCTTAACCAAAGGAAATTCCTGAAGTGTTTAAATAGGAAGGCATTAGAGGAGTTGAGTTAGTGTTTGAATTTTATTCATAGTTATCTATTTATTTATTTATTATATATTCACTTCGGTAATATTTTCCTATTGAATTTGGTAGTTAAGGTATAGTTTTCATTTTGTTGGGGAGCATTCGTGAATTGATGCCGGATATACATCGGTGACAACATATGCACTTTCTAATTTGATTTTCTTTAAGTTGTAATTTTGCCCAAGGTGTATGATTTGGAGATAAAATCAAAGACATCAAATGTATTGAGGAACTAATTAACTGGCGTGAGTGTTAATGTAAGAGAAGTTATCCCGAGGGTAATAATACTTTGAATAAGATAATAGTCGAGTTCACTGACCTTGTCATACTCATTTCGTATAACAGAAATAACAGTCTATTTTGGCTGTCTAATCGTACATATTTCCCCCATATATTTAAATGTCTTGCAAAACACGAGAAGTTCGGAAAAATGGAATTCAACTTAAATTTTGGCTAAAGTACATTCTGTTTCGAAATATTATCATGTCATGATTATGCGACGATAGTCTAATATTGGTAAACATTTTGGTACACTGAATCTTTAGCTTTACATAAATAATACTGTAAACATAAAATATCCACTAAATGTTGATATACATAACCACGTGCTACTTGACTAATTTTAATTAACAATTATTGCTTGTTTACATTATCAAATATATTTTCTATTATTTTAAATGTACAGTTTTAAATTTCATTCCCGTACCATAAATACGCTAACCCTATTTTTTCTAATTCAGATATTAATTATCCATCCATCAATCGACTGATTTTTTTGTTCTTAGCAGGCTTTTCAGACATAATTTTGTGTACTTTTCAATTTCAACCAAAACTTCAAAACTTTTAGTTTTCTTGCAATATACAAAGGAAACCCACCTAATTCAAACTAATTTTTTCATGTCTGGAGCTTGATGAAGGCCCCATATTTCACTTGAATATGCTAAAACACTTTATATATGTATCAAATACAAACCATTGTGTCTTAATATTAAAAATGACTTTTAACTAACTATTTATTGCAAAATACGCCTTTTTCCATGGTTAGCAACATGCTTTTGTGTTTTATTAATTTTTCCGTTATAAGTGAATAACATTCCGAGGTAGTTAAATGCATCAACCACTCGTTCATATCTGTATATCTACATCATTATATAGCCAATTCAGATAGCTGACTACCACTATTATTTCGAAAAATCATTATTTTTGTTTTATCCATAATTAGTTTTAACTCCCAATCATTATTTTATAACAACACAGCATCAAACATACTTTGAAGAGATTGCGATGACCCTGCAATCAAAACTATATCATAGCAAAAATGTATATTAAACCAATTTCTACTGGTAAACAGTCGATGTTTTGATCATGCTCACAAGAGTGCCTTGTGAGATTGTTGTCAGTACCGCAGTGCTGTGTACGAGGCCTTAACCTTGCTAGGTTTGGACCGGGTGTCGTCGATGAAGCAAAAGATGCCTATCTTTCCGGAACATCTGTTTTCATTTCAATTTGCCCAGGGTGTCGATGTGAATGCTGTCTTCCTTTTTACTTTGCCGTAGTTTTATAGATTTTGAGTTCAGTTCGAATCATGGTTATGATGAGTAATCAGTATTTACTTGCTGTTCTTCATATCGGTTGTTTTGATCCATTCCTCTTTAACATTCACGAGTTGGATTGCATAAAATTCGAACCCACATTTTGCCAGTTTATAACTATAACTTACGTTCCAATGTTCTAGAATTTTATCCCGCACTATTCTTTCTAGTATTTTGCATGCTGTTGATGTGAGAATTTTTGGTTGATAGTTCTGTCGACGTTTTATTGGTAACTTTTCAAAAATGCTGTCACTGTTGCTTTCCTCCGCATTTTCCGGCGGTCTCCTTTATGTACAGTTTGGAGTTCCTGGTTTTATCAGTAACTTACGGATTATCGTTTTGATAATAGATGAAAGTTGGCAAATATGAAAATGGTCAATATGGAAGGAAGCAAAATATATTATCAAGAATAAGATTCGCCAGTTTGGTATGAATAATAAAGGCTAAGTTTGTTTTGGACACAAACAAGAACTGAAAACTTGTTTTTGCAAACTGTATTATTCTTATAATTTTAATGACTATCCACGTATCGCTCAATCATTAACTGTCTCGCTTTTTTTTCATTCCAAGACTTTTTAAATGGTGTCATATGTGCATTCTTCCAGATATTTGGAAGGTCACCGTTGTGTAAATTATTGATTCCATGTCGCTAACAATGAGTTTCGGATTAACGTTTCGAATGGCTTCATCCTCAAGTTTCTCTGTTATGATGATATTTTGGAACACTTCATGCTATTGCTGAACGTTTATAGATAGGTTCCGTTACGGAATCTGGAATATTTGATCATAATTAAAGGAAAAATGTATATATTTTATTGTTTTTAATGACTTTATTTACCCACATATCGCTCATTTATGCATTGTTTCGCTTGTTATCACACAGAACAACCCAGGACTCAGAGACAGGCATGTGCAGCAAAACCTTTCCCGAAGATTAAAGGACCTAAATCTAAACATGATAAAATAGCCATCATAGGTGCTGGTCCCTCCGGGATCCACATGGCGTACAGACTTAAGGTCGGTTACTTGTTTGTTATGATCTTACAGACTAAGATTGAAAGTGAGAATAATAAAATAGAATTATGAAATAAATCACCTATATGCGATGAAGACAAAGATATTGTAGCCCGGATGTAAGATTGTTAAGGTCCTCTACGGGGCATTGACATTAAAATCACCAAGAGTGGTTATTTTTTCATACAAAAATGCAATGAATATGATAACTGTTAATTTCGCAATGTTGAACCCAATATGGATTTCCAATTCATTAAATTACAATATAAAGTAATCATGGTCTTTAAAAATGTTTTCAGGAAGAGGGCTATACTAGAGTAAAGATATTTGAGAAAAATGACTATATTGGCGGGAAGTCGAAGACCCTGTATCACCGACGAGTGCCCCATGAAATGGGTACCGTGTACACCCAGCCTGACTACACAGAAATCTACAAGCTGGTCAAAGAGTTTGATGCTGGAGATATCCTCCCTATGCCCTCACCAGACATATGGGTCAGCAAGAATCCTCCAAGTAGGTTATAACTCTGTGAGAAAATGTGACTCTTTCTATTTCACGATAGTTCATGTCATTTTCTCAATTGTATTATGCCATGGTCAATGCATTACGATTACTTTGCTCCTCTATTTCCTTTGCGAGGATTCCTGATGTATCATCTTTGTGTTTCTATTACTTGTTGGTATTTCTGGACGTGCTTCCACAAATAGAACGAGAAATACTAACAGGTTTACGAATGCCCTTGAAAATGTGTAACTGAACCATGAAAGGGTCACTGGGTTACTCTAGCTAATATTTGGGTATCAACGTCAATATCAAATATCAGCAAGACTTTATACATGGTTAAAATATTTTAGAGTCAGGGGAGATTCTGATTAAATTTCCTCTCCAAACTAGCATCAGTTTTGGAAATATAGACTTCTGAAAATCTCTATATGAATATCGTCGATCAGCACGTAAATTTTGAAAGTTTCGTTTATCTTAGTATTCCTATCTTAAAACTGTCTATGTTACCTTACGTAACAGCCAATTAAGCTTAAACACAGTAAAATTGACATAAAAGTGTCATCAGGTGAAAAAATGCAAACATAAAAATACTTCTTTACATTGCACGACAGTTCCTTTGGTACTGTCCCTTATTTGGATGTACTGAGTGTTTAATTTGTTTGGCTTTCTCTATAGAGGAAAGTAACGATTTGATTTAGTATTTCCTTACTTCTTTTGTATCCCTATAATTATATAGAGTATATATGTTATTTACAATATTATACAATATCCTGTTTAGAAACGTTGCCTGCATCAAATATTGAGGGGTAAATATACAAACAACAACGAACAAAACTCTCTCTCTCTCTCTCTCTCTCTCTCTCTCTCTCTCTCTAAATTCCAATAGGTCTTTCAGTAAAAATGCTTCGAAAAATATCAGTTAATACACTCAAAACTTGGTTGTATTGCAGTTTATATGACAACTCTGGAAAACAGTATCCGGATATTAATGAAAAATCGTCCAAATATTACCACTCCCACAGAGGCAGCAGGAATTATCCAGCAATCCATTGTTAAATATGTAGGATTGCACAACACATTGTTTGGGACGTACGAAGGGGAGTTGATGCCTCGACCGTGTGAAAACGTACTGTCACAAGTTAACATGACTTTCGAAGTGTTTCTTACAACTAACAATATTGAAGGACTGGAAGGTATAATATTGTCTGCGCTAACAATGCAAGGTTATGGACATATTGACGAAATATCAGCTCTGTATGGGATGATGTGGGTTACCCCGCAACTTCTCCTCGGTTTAGTTAAACCGATAATAACGCCAGAAGACCGGGTTGTAAAGATTTTAAGTAAAGGGTTTCAGTCTCTGTGGGAGCAAATAGCAAGACAAAACAATCTCAATGTAAAGTTGTCGAGTCCAGTCAAAACAGTGTCGTGTTTAAAACATGGTAGAGGCTTCTGTGTAAAGTATATGAAATGTGGTAGATTATATGGAGAAAAGTTCGATTTTATTATAACAAGTCCGACGATGAAATCTATGTCGGATATAATCAGATTTAAACCCAAAGTACGGGAACTGTTCAGTAAGACATTCAACGACTACTTCACGACCACCTTAGCGGATACAGACTATGGAGTGAACAGGGGCAAGACGCCTCAAGATTACTACGCGTTCAACATAATCGCCAAAGAGGAAAGTTCTGTCTGGGGGCACAGGGACTCGTATTCTTCACTAAATTACATTATAGAAGGAAACTACACTGAAGGAAATCCAGGTGGACAGAATGTACAATCATCTGTCTACTATCAACTCTCTAAACAGAAACCGGACCCGAAAACTCTCACCCGGAAATTGAGGGCCCATATTTCGACTGTTGAAGTATCCGATAATTTGAAAATAAAAGATAGATTTATCTGGAATTATTTTCCTAGGTATTCAGTCTCAGACATGGCATCGGGAATATTATGGGATATATTTGATATCCAGGGGAAGCACAACATATGGTATATTGGATCGTCTGTGAGTTTTGAGTCTGTTAAGAGCGTAGTGGAATACAACAACTTACTACTTAGACAATTATCTGGTAACAATTGAACGACAACAAATAATTGATTGGGTTTGTCATGGCATCAAACTACATATTCTCTGTTAAACATCAAAGGAAAAAGTTCAAATATCTCCAATAAAAGATTGTTTCATATCAATCATATCGTGTTAACAGTATTTATGTTGGCTTTTTTATGGTATTTTTACACTTTCATCTCGTTTTAATGCTAGTGTTCAAAAGGAGAAAAAAAACACACTTTGAAATGCATTGTATATGCATTTGACAAGTATCTGTGTTTAGGTTAAATGAGGTGATCAAAGCCTCAAAAAAACTGTGGGCACTGTTTTGGCGGAAATTTTATCGGTAAACTACAATCCAGAAAAAAATCTTGGTCATTTCTAAAACAATGTCACAGAGAAATATGTATTTTACCTAAAAGACTTTGTAATTTATCTATATAATGCAATGCTAAGTTTGTTTGTGGGAATATTCTTATTTTAATTACTAATTCATTTTGGTACTTTTACTTTCCATTTTAGCTCACCTGGCCCGAAGGGCCAAGTGAGCTTATCCCATGGTGCAGCGTCCGTCGTCCGGCGTCCGGCGTCCGGCGTCCGGCAACTTTTCCCTTTAAAATGCTACTTGTCCTGAATGGCTCAGAGGATTTTGACCAAATTTGGTCAGGAGCATCATTGGCCAAAGCAAATTTGTCTTTATATAAACGGAGGGTATAACCCCCCTGGGGGTAGAGGGACGGGGCCAAATAGGGGGAAAATAGGTAAATCTTAAAAAATCTTCTTCTTCTCAACCAATAGAAGGATTTTGACCAAATTTGTCCTAGAGCATCTTTGGACAAAGGAGACTCAAGTTTGTATAAACGGAGGGTGTGGCCCCTCTGGGGGCGGAGGGGCGGGGCCCAATAGGGGAAATAGAGGATTTTTTTTCTCCTGCTATACAAGTGAAGGGATTTTAACCAAATGCAGTCTGAAGCATGATTAGGGACAAAAGAATCAATTTTGTATAAACTGAGGTGTGTGGGCCTCCTTCTAAGGGCAGATGGGTGGGGCCCATTAGGGGAAATAGAGGAAAACATCAAATATCCTTCTCCTTTTGTACCGATGAAGGGATTTTGACCAAATTTGGTCTGGAGCATCATTGGCCAAAGGGTTCTCAATTTTGTATGAACGGAGGGTATGGTCCCTCTGGGGGCAGAGGGACGGGGCCAAATAGGGGAAAATAGATAAATCTTTAAAAATCTTCTCCTCAACCAATCGAAGGATTTTGACCAAATTTGTCCTAGAGCATCTTTGGACAAAGGAGACTCAGGTTTGTATAAACGGAGGGTGTGGGCCTTCTGGCGGCATAGGAGCGGGGCCCAATAGGGGAAATAGAGGAATTTTTTTCTCCTACTATAATAGTGAAGGAATTTAAACCAAATGCAGTCTGAAGCATGCTTAGGGAGAAAAGAATCAATTTTGTTTAAACTGAGGTGTGTGGATTCCCCTTCTTTGGGGCAGATTAGTGGGGCCCATTAGGGGAAATAGAGGAAAAAATTAAAGATCCTTCTCCTTCTGTACCGTTGAAGGGATTTTAACCTAACCAAACTTGTTTTAGAGAATCTTTGGGCAAAGGGAATTGAATATTTATAAATGGAAGATGCAACTTTGTTACTTGTACTCCTTTGATAAACCTGAATGGTACTCAGCAGGTTTTAAATTGAAAAATAAAATACCAGGTGAGCTATTAAGGCCCCTGGGCCTCTTGTTTTTATTTCAGCTGTTGTTATTTGCTTTATATCAATTTATGGTCGTTAGCTTGTCATGTCACATATTACAATAGGCGTTAACGCAACGTCTTTTATCATATTTGACTCTGTACGCGACATATATCACAAACCATAACAAGTAGCTAATTGTTGAACTTATGTAATAAAAGTTTTGAACAAATAACGTTCCCCTGATTAGACAAATAATAATTACAATAAGTTTATACAATAATACTGATTATTTTGTGAATGACCCTAGCGACTAAACAACGACTGTTCTGAGTACATCTTGACTAAATTAGATGAACATACCACATGGGCTTTGTGGTCAATGTTTACTTGCCGAAATATACGCAATTTAAATTCCAATTTTGATCCGCCTTGCTACTTCCAGTCGCCATTTTGTAAACAGGACCTAATCTCGAGCTTATGTGCGTTTGAAACAGTGTAAAGTATTGCCAAGCTTCTAAACGATCGTGCCCAGAACATACTCTCTAAGGATGATGTATTTGATAAATTTACTATCAATTATTTACTATATTTCCTTTCTGTATCACTTTCATTAATTCATAAAAGAACAATTTTATTTTTTCCCGTTTAAACTTTTTTCTTTCAAATGTTAAAACATATTTTTTTGGAAAAAATGTTCTAGTTTCCAGATTATGATCAAACGTCGTCTGCTTCGCAAACATTCAAGAAAATAATATTTACAATGTATTAATATTGTTTATGTTAACTCGTTTATTCTTTAAACTATCTTTAATTAATAAATTATCAAGATTTTGTGAATTGAAAAATTGCATTTTTTACGTAACCGGAAGGTTACGAGAACGTGACCCGGAAATACCTCGCAACATAGTCAGGATGGTAAATAAAAAAATAAGATTATACAGAGGCGCATTCGAGGAAAAGTTTGTGATTAAAAGCTTGTGTGTGTGCTTTTTTATCTTAAAACTATCGGATTAAAGCATAGTGGCATGTTACATCAAAATACAAGATACAAGAATCATTATTTTACGTTGAATATATGTCATAGTTAACATAAGCTCTCAGGAGCTTGTATTTCGACAAACATATACATGTATGGCCTATATATATATATATAAATGGTAAAACATTGTAACAGTGTAAAGGCAAACAACAAATTTTATCACAAGATACCTACGTTGGAAGCATTAAGATAAAGAGGCTAAATAATCATGCTGTACAAAATTTGGCACAAAAACAACTTACTTAAAAACCTGTCTAGAGGGCAGGTGATTGGGACATAGCATTTATTTGTAACCTGGAGCACAGGTTTGGTAGCCGTTCATATTAAAAGATATTTTAAGTATTGATGCTGCTCGTGACGCCAATGATGTATTTTTCGCTTACAAGTTAAAGCGTCATTATCCAAAGAGAAGAATAGTACGAATTGAAAAGTGAATTGCCAACAGCTCGTGTCAAAAATAAAAACATTCCTCTCATGTTAATTCTCGTCACCTGGACATTTGTAAGTTAGAACAGCTGGTCTCGCAGATGCTTAAACTATGTACACAATATATATACAGTTATACCACAGTATTGTATTGTCTCGGTATGGCTACGAATGCATTCCAGGTCAGGTAATAGAAAATCAAATGTATTAAATTCAAATATATCACCACTTCACGACAATCATGGATTCATATGGGTACAATGTTATTAAAATAACATTCATACAATGCATGCAAGCTGAACTTAACAAATCATTTGTTTAAAATTACAAGTCATAATTTCCATGAAATTATCCAAACGAATAAGATCTTTATGTCAAAATAAACTTCAGGTTTGATTTAGTATTGTTTTATGTATGTTCTATCAACAGCTATACATGGTCATTTAAAGACGGCCTCCCCATATGCTAGATGCATGCGTGTGGTGAGTTCATGCATAATTAATTTGTGTTTTGGGAGTCTGTGGTATGTTCATCAGTTTGTCTCCTTGTGATAGCGCAGGACTGATGCTGACTTTATAGTGTCATTTCACTGGAGCATACTGCTGAAGACACATTTTATTTTACGATCTAATCTCGTTATTTCGCCATCTTCAATAGCCAAGGGTTCATAATTTAAATTTGTACTATTCACCCTTGGCAGATTTAGCCTTGTGTTTAATTTCCCTCCCCTGCCACCTTGCATAGACACTTAACTAGCAAAACTTTAAACTTTCAAGTTTATTTCAGCACTGGTCGCCTCTGTATTTCCCTTGGTTATCATTTACAGTTAGAATATGGCCAATTATCTCTACCAACTAATCAAATACAGAAAATGTTTCTTTAAGTAATGTCCTCCTTTGTATTTTGACATAAATCATGACATAGTCGACAAGGCAACTTGGTACTGGGCGCCGCCATATATACATGCACAGGAACTTGGTATTAATGTCTAACCCTCAGTTCACATATGTGTATTATATAATGTATGATATAAACAAAAATTGTGGACCATAGGATGGAAAATGACAACAAAAACAGGCTGAAAACATGTATGGAATGTGTTTTTCTTAAGAGAGGCTGTATAAACACATTATGAATATGTAAATTTATGATGGAAGTCCATTTTACTCGAATTACCTGACGTTATTTTCAATAATTTTCAATTAATAGGAATCAGTTTGTTTTTTTGGGTTTTATAAATCCTCGCAACCACTTTTAAGACATATGTATAAGAAAGGTCTGCCAAATATCTAATTCTTTGACAACTTTCAACAAATATATAGCAGCTAGGAATTGAGCTTTCTGTATCCACTGCACTACATACACTTCATATTATTTGTTGACATTTTTCTGCTACAGTACATGGAGTTTCCTCAAAAGATGCTGAGTCTGAAACCTTAATCATATCTTTTAGAGTACTTTAAAAAAAAAAAAGGTTATACCGGTACAGTACATTTCACCTGATATCACGTCTGTTAATGTCACTTTTCGGTTATTATCATGTATTATTGATGCTCATGTATCTCTTCGATTCACTAAACATCAACAACAACAACATTTAAACCCTAAATCTGTGATTAAAAGGATTGTAAAAAAAAATTATATGTGTTCCGTAAATTTATGTTAAAATATTTCTGTTCAACATTCATATTTACAGTGGTGTTCAAATCCACTTATACATAAGTTAACATAAAATTGTACTGCAGTATTTTTTGGTCTGATTTTTAACAGCTAAATAAGTCTCATCAAGGGTCATTGACCTGTCAGAAGTTGAAGTAGCCAAAATTATTTGACTTTGGTGAAGAAGCATCCTAAAAATAGAAGAAAGTAAGGGCTGGATTTTCACGAACTTGAAGAGTTTTGCCCCTTTGTTTGTTTTCCTATACATCTTATTCTGGCA